CAAAAAAAAAAAAAAAAAGATATCCTGTACCAACAGTGATGAAGAGATCCTTGGGTCCAGTGTCTGCATGCATTAAAGAGAAATGCAAAGCAACGGTCAGGTAGTAAGGAAAGTTAAAGCAGAGCTCCACAGCTAAGAGCACTTTCCTTTAGAGTAGGAAAGTCTCCAAATCAACCATGCACTTCAGCTTGTTAGTGTGTCTATATGGTATGTATTTACTTCCATGAAACAGAAAAAGGGGAGGGGGTGCAGAAGAAGGAAAAGCATATCAGCAAAGGAAAAAAGAAGTGCACAAGTTCTTGGAAACAAAGGCATGATTTTTTTAATTCATCTGCAAGTAGAAAGGAAATAACAGTTAGTTACATGATTCTAATCATGTATTATGGAGAAGTATATCAGTTCCTCTAAGGAAGCAAGTCTGGTCATGCAGGGGTCTGAAAAGGGATTGAATGTTTGTGTTCCCTAAAATGTATTAACATCACCCCATGGGAGGGGCTTTGGGAAGTGGGGCCTTTGAGCATTGATTAGGCCATGAGAACGCAGCCCTCAGAAACGAGATCCGTACCCTGTACACGGGAACCCTGAGAATTCTTGGCGCTCTTTCTGCCACCCCAGTAGAGGATACAAGACAGCAGACATCTGCAACCTGGAGGCAGGCCCTCACCTTGAACCTTCCAGCCATCAGGACTGAAAGAAATGAATTTTTCTTATTTTTAAGTCTATGGTGCTTTGTTACAGTAACTGCAACTAAAACAAACCCCTTAAAGGAGACAGAGGCCATGATGCTCTTCTTAAAAAGCAGCCAATACTTCTCTAGGATTGCTACGTTTCAGTGGACTTAGGAAAAAAATTTAAAGAACAACAACAAAATGTTAGCTAACAGTATATTATCAAGTTTTGCTCCAGATCACCTAATCTTATTGCTGTGAGTCTCCTGGTGTTACTTTTAAAATAAGGACCATGCTATTTATCACAAGTTGGTCATGTGAGACTAGTGTAATTTTTATCACGGTTTCCAAGTTCAATAAGCAGATGTCAGTAAAGAGCTCTGAGGTCCATTCTAATGAATTCTAAGAAAAAAAATCTGTAAATCAATCTCCTGACATGACAATAATGTTTTAAATAATGGAAAGACTGAATTTCTGACGCAAGTGCTAATTTCCTTAAGGAGTTACATCTATAGTAGTATTTTTCCACATACAAAATAAAGTATTTTTTAAATCAAGAAAATTTTTCTGGTATTTGTAAACCAAAAACAAACATAGGTGATATTATGAGGCAGGGCTCACTCCTATTTTTCAATTTAATTTCATTTTTAAGAGCATTTTAGGGGCTGGTGAGATGGCTCAGTGGTCTAAAGCACCTACTTAGAACAAGCTTAGCAAAGCCCAGGGACCGCGGTTCAATCCCCCAGCACCACATGCCAGCCAGCCCCGCCCCCTGGTGGGCTGAGCTGGCCACACACACACACACACATAAGTAAATAAAATTAAAAAAAAAATAAAAACATTTAAAAAAAAAAAAAGAGCATTTTAACTGGATTCATCCTCCTTATTAATAATTTGTGTTCGGTTCTTAAGGTTCTTTAAAATATTTTCAAATTCTACTAATCATATTTTTGTCAGTTAAAACATTACAAAATTAAAATACAGCAAAACAAAACAAAATTTTACTCTACCTAGAGATAAACTAGACTATTGAGAAAGTACATTTAACAAAAATTTTACCCTCTAAAACTAGAACATAGGAGCTATCAAAAATATATCAAATATATCAAACTATCAAAATGAACAAATTTACTTTCAGTCAAATATAAAAGTAATTATTATTATTAATTCCCTTCTGAAAGGAAAGACAGACTAAGTCATTTTCATAAGCCAAACTTATTCAACAGGTTTAATTTCAGAAAGAGCTAGCTTGAATAAACATTTTTTTCTGCTTTTAAAAGCACCCCTAAGAAAAAAATCATTTCAGGAAAAAGGATTTTTTTTTTTTAAATCAAGTTTACTTTTCCCTAGAGTTATGCTTTCTTTCATATACTAAGTATGATAAAATTATATTACTCATATTTATACAAAATTATAACTGGAACCATCTTTAATGCCACTAGAATATTTAGAATGATTATCTGATCAGCATGGGAGTTTTGACCTGTTCCGTTTCCGACCTGGGCCGGTTCACCCCTCCTTAGGCAACCTGGTGGTCCCCTGCTCCTGGGAGGTCACCATATTGATGCCGAATTTAGTGCAGATACCCAATCGGCATAGCGCACTACAGCCCAGAACTCCTGGACTCAAGCAATCCTCCCACCTCAGCCTCCCGAGTAGCTGGGACTACAGGCGCATGCCACTGCGCCCGGCTAGAATGATTATCTGAAAAACAATTACTCCTTTTCATGACTGAAGCTTCAGGACCATATATATGTATATATACATATATGTATATATGTATGCATATATATACACATACATACATATATATATAATTTTTTAAGTATACTATTATAATTAGTAATAATTCATGAAAATATAAATCATGGAGAAATTGATCATTTAAATGTTATATTACTCCAGTTTGCTAACAAAAATAAAACCAGGAAGCCTGTAAGACCAATAGGAACTCTACAGCTAAACTATGCTTTATTTTTACAGTTATCAGTTTACTTAAAAGCTCAAAAATGAGCCTGCACAACTCCAGAAGTGCCATAAGAATGTCACTGCAGGGGGAGTCTGTGTGCGTGTGTTTAGAAGAAGACGATCAGTACAAAGAGACACACATATGACATTCTACGCTATTCTGTTAAGCACAGTAACTACATACATTAAGTACAATGTGCCTCTCTGTTCACGAATTTCATTCTTTCCATGATTCTGGTCACAAATCAGATTGGACTAGAACCAAATTGGTTTCCCATAAGGTCAAAATTGAACCTAAAATCTTTGTAAAGAAACAATCCAATGAATCAATCTCAAAAAGTTATTCTACTATATATAGCCAATTCAAGTACATACTAGAAAGAAGCAACTTAGTCCCTAAGCTTACTTTAATCTGACAACTACAAGATTAAGTGTTTATCAATTTAAAGCCCTCCTTACTACTAATTACAAGTGTTCAACTGAAAATACTGAATAACAGAATTAGCATAATAATGCTTAACAGTGGTAGCTGCTGAGCTGTGCATTCAAATCCCACCCAACAAGAAAGTGCCCTGATCCTTACCTCTTTAGGGAGCAGAGAAATGAAGTCTCTTTGAAACTGAGGTTCTATCACTTGCATCATGTGTTTTACTTGTGTTGGTTCACAACTGTCAATAAGTTCATCTAAAGCAAGTAATTTTTCTGGTCCACTCCAGCTCTATCAAAGAGGAATTTAAAATTATTACTATTTTAATAGAAGTCCCAAATAGTAAGTTCATAAAAAAAAAACCACACCCATACGCATCCATCTTTGAACAAGGCAAGAATTCTATTAAAAACTGACTGCTTATAATGACATTTTCTGCAGAGGTCACTGCAGTGATAGTGCCTTTTCATCCAGCTTACTACCTACTTCTATTTTATAAAAACTTTTTAAAAAATCACAATTTTGACTAAAAAAGATGTTTGCACATTATTATAACAGCTGCTTGTGATGACAAACTTTCATTCCAGAAACAACAGTTTGGATTACTGAGTAAATAGAGAATTTGATGGGTTTTTCTTTACATTTGTTCTAGTGGACATCATGAAATTTAATGGTTTTCATAAGTTATCTCTCTAAGACGCTACAGCAGAGTTAAGAGCTGGATTGGGCACAGCTGACAAGGGCTGTTTTATGAAAATAATTTCATATTTAAAAATACCAAACAAAAAATAGTAACTGACTTTGTAGGAAAATTAGAACATACAGATCAAATAAGAGTAAGAAATAAAGTGCTATACTACAGGAACACAAAAATACATAATTCAAAAATATAACAACACTAAGAGATTACTTTAAAAAATTTTGTTTTCATTTGCAGTAAGGAAAACCTGCATGCAAAAAAGCTAGGACTCTTAAAAGGAAAACTCAGAAGTCCTATGAGTAATTTAAAAGGTTGGTGTTTCAAAACAATCATGTAAAGAACCTCATGATAAATGAAAAACATGTTTGAACAGGCCTTTGTTTCTGTACATCAATGCTGATTTAAATACTTTTGTGAATTACGGTGTCCCTTTGGAAGAGAACAAATAAAGAATAATAGATGAGGTTTGGGGCTACAAAATCTGAACTTTGCCATTTTTCTTTTTATTCAAAAAATTAGACAGTTGTTCAGGCCCATGTTAAACATATAATAATTGACAACAAATATATTAAATATACAAGGCAATCTTACTTAAAATACTTTAAAGAATACTTCTGGAAGTATTTACCCTGTTAGAATCTACAAGGAACATCATCTCTTCTTCCCATCATAAAGCATGGGTTATGGCGTTACTATGAAATATTTTCAATAGTGTTTAACTATCACTATAATATATTCAAATTTACCATCAAAGTAAAAGAACTACAGGTTTCAATAAACGTGTGTCCTTTCCTTCTATACATACATACATTCAGAACATTCATCTTGAGTTTTCACCTTGCATTCTTTGGTCAGAGTGAGGATTTACAAATAAAAATTTGAAATATGCCTACATATGTGTATGTACACACGCAATCAGAAGCATTTGATTATATTTTTGTCTCATATGACTTCAAATGCTGGCTCAACTATGTACTGCATACATGTACTAATAAAAAAGATTTAAAAAACACTGGTGTAAACTTACCTATTTGATAATCTGATCAATCTCCACTTTAGTTAGTATCAACAGTATGTAGCTCACTGATACACTGATTTATATCCCTCACAGAATGAGGTGGGTTTTCATAATATGGTCTTCCTCTCCATCTATACCGTATTTGTGGAAACTATTACTGTAAGAACAGGCCCATTTTGAGTGATGGACAACTGTGCTAACTCAAAATGCAGCTTTAATTAAGGATTTTGATAGAATAATTTAGTATAAATTTCTTAATTTCCTTCATATATATGAACAATTAGCTTAAAAATATTTTGCAAGTGTCCATGAGTACTTACATTAGTAGATACGGCATTTCTAAGATAAGTTAATAAATTGTACCTGCTTCATGATTTTTTCAATTAATAAGTTACTACTTTTTAAAAAAAGAGTATAGAAAAGCATTATAATATACAATATATACATGCTAACAGATGAGAAATATCTTTTTATCAAATCTTTTAGATAGGGAGTCTAGAAGATAGTTATTAATTTAGACCTTAGGTAGATGCTTGAAACTACCACAAATTTCTATATAGTTAAAACAAAGCTTATGAAAAAATTATGATTGTCTGATAAAGTGTTTCTAATAATTTAAATGATATTGTCTGAACTATATATAAATCAGACTGCTTCTATGGACCAGAAACACACAACATCTAATTACTTAAAATCACATCTCTAGGGTGAGTTCAACAAAGGTCTGAGCCATTCGGATAGCTTTCCTCCCTGTAGTCTGGTATTCTTCCTGGACTTCAGACCTGTACATCAAACTACTTCCTCCACATCCGCTCCTGGATAGGCAGAAGCAAGTTTCAGGAGCGTTCCCTTCTTCAGTTCAGTAACATGCAAATGAAGCAACTTGTACTTGTTCAGGTCCCAAACTCTAATCATCCCTGGCTGGTCCCCTTCTCTTAGAGCAGGTAGCTCTGATTCAAATGAACTTTATGGCCTACAGCTTCAAAACACATTCCAATTCAGAACATTACTACACTGGTCTAAGATATCATACCAGTGTCTTTCACCTAGATTACTCCTGACAGGTCTCCCCACTGCCTATCTTTGACCTCCTGTCCTATTCTCCACACAGTACTACTCAGTGACTGTTAAAAGTCATTCTTCTGCTTAAAACCTTCAAGTGCTTCCCACTTCAGTAAAAAATCAAAGCTCTCAGGACGGCCCACACAATCCTAATTTCCTTCTTACTTTCCCTCTTATTTACTCTCCTCTGCCATACACATTCTTTCTGTGCCTCAAGCACTCCAGACACGCTGTGATTCAGAGCCTTCCCATGTGCTGGGTAGCTGATACATTCTCCCGGGGATACCCACAGGCTTGTTTCCTCCTCTTTGTATGGGACAACCCTTCCTCCTCTGGGCAAGAACTGAACTTTTTAAAAGCTGCAAATCAGTTTAACCCTAATCTACTCCTTTCTGTCTAGAATATAACTTCTATGCCAAAACAGTTTGGCCTGTTTTATCTATGAGGCTATCTGTAGACTCAAAGTAGGGCCTAGCACTGAGTAGGTACTTATCTGTGGACTAAATGAATGAATTTCAAAAGTCAGAAATTAACCACAGTGATGTTATCTCCAAATTCTTTGGTTTTTACTGTTTACATAGAATGATATCACTAGGACTTGCTTGCTCAGTCTGGTTAAAAAAGTGGTCTCAGATTTTGGATGCAGATGAGACTCATCAGCAAGGAATAATGTACGAACCTGAAAACCTTGAATGAATAATTAAAATAAAAAGAACAACTACCTATAGTACCATTTAACAAGAAACAATGGGAAGAATACTGAATTAGGAATCAGGAAGCTCAACTTTTGGAGGAGATACTGTAATTAAGACTATAATTTAACCTCACGGCCTTAGTTTCTTTATCTGGAAAAGGTAATTGGTAGATTGACTCTGATTATTGTTACTTTACTTCTGTGTGAAGAAGTGGTTGACCTGGAAAAGGAAAAAGCACTTCTTTTGGCTTATATGATGGCCACATGGGAACATGTAGGAACAGGAAAAACATTCCAGATTCAGAAAAGATAAGGAAGTGCCAATTTCATTTGTGTGCAAAATGGCAAATGCAAAACTAGAAACTCCCTGCAGAAGTAGAATTTTATTTCAATTCATGTAGACATGCAGTAAGGAGCAGCAGAAGGGGCACTGAGCCATTCAACAAACTAAGCTTCACCAGTAAAGTCACTGTCGGACCCTGGAACTTGTGCAAGTGCCGTAAGGACACTGAGTCTGAGAGGCCCCATCCATGTAAAAAAGGGCTTGACCCCAGCCCAGTGGCTCCTAGGCAGTTATCAAGGAACACAAAACTCATAGACAAGCCACCAGTTAAAGCTCTGGTTCTGTGGTACAGATGTGGCTGAGGACATTTATGTCTTCAGCAACTCACCCAGCACTGATGTGGATGATTGACAAACCAGAACTCAGGGTCTACTAGTCGGAATCTAGACTAGTAGCAACCCTCAGTGTTCCAATTATATCCAAGTGTTTTGTGTCCTTGGGTAGTACTGTGCCTGAATCTCATGTGGTGAAGAACTTGCTTCTCTAGCACCTCTAGCATGGTATCCACCCTATTTGAACTGTGGGACAGTTCTAATTGCTAAGGCCAGCTAAGTCAAAAGCTAACTCAGAGAGTATGATGTAGGCTTAAATTTATGAAGAAACCAAAAATTGGTCCATTTCTACTTTTATACACATCAACATCTATGGAAAATTCAAATATTACGGAATTTGGTTTTTGGTTTTGTTTTTAATTTTCATTTCTATTTAGTACTAGTGTTCTGTCTTAATTTCATTTTATCCAAAATGGTGTATGGTTTGTTCTCATTCAATTTGTTAAATGAGAACAGAACTTTGTCAGAACAGATGGAGCTGGACCAAAACAAGGCTGTATCGCTTCCTCAGAAGTAAGGAAGCAAGGAGATGAGGTCTCCCATTCCACAGGCCACACATCAGAACAGTCATCGCCAAATGCCCCCAGCAGGGCTACAGAAACCACAGCACTGCAATTACCCCTCCGCTTCACCACACAGGTCAACTCACAACTCCCCCACTTTACCATGAAATTATAAGTTACACTTTACTGCCTACAAGTTATGCATTAAAGCATTATAAGCTTTTAGGCAAGTGATTCATTTCTAGTTATTTTGCTAACAGCCCTGAAAAGGCAGGGTGGAATACAGCAGAGATGCTGGGTGTGTCCAAAGAAGACACGATACTCAAAAGACAAAGGCCCTGCCTGATCTATCTGTCACACTGACCTTCTGATGCTATAGATCTGTTTGCTTTAGATTATTTATTGAAAAAAAAACATAGTCTTATATCTGCAGGTATAATTTCATTTTACTGCTGTAATCTAAGCATAAGTTTCTTTCATTTCACCTACTTCTCAGGTGAAAAAGTAATCAAATGCTTTGACAGAACAAAGCTGGTTTAACATCTAGTTTACTGAGTCTCAGTGATTTTAAAAAAAAAGTCTCTTGTATTTTTTATTTAACATTTCTGAAAGTGGGATGCATCTAAAAATCTATGCAGCCTCAGATTTGATGAAATGCAGTAAACAGTAACATTTCATCATTTAAGGAAAGCATGGGCTAGCTGAACAAGCAAATGTTTTATAAGGAACTCTTCAAAATGCTCACTACACAATAAAGCACAAAGGCCCCAAATGCCAATCAGTATTAGACAGACTTCTCTTAAAATTGGCTAATACCTTAAATGGCATGAAAACACTGGGAAAACCAGGCCCTACCACATAAATAACTCTACTCTGAACTAGCATTTGTTGATAAACCATTTCTTGGTAGGAAATAAACCTTTCCTACAGTAACATAAGCATGATGGAAGCTGTCTTCCATGATGATAAACCCATTACTAATGTTATTTTATTACAAAAGAAATCGTAAGAAATCACTTCTATACTATCCTCAAGGGCTGTGTCGCTCATACTTACACGCATGTGCCACATGACAGTACACAGCCACAGTCTGACCCCCAGAGCAGGTAGGATGAAAAGCTGTACTTCTCCTTTAAGACTACATAAATGTCTATGTTTTATTTTCATCTCTTATTAAGGGACAAATTTCTTTTAGAAAGATAAAACCAAAAAAACTTTTAGAATTCTGAGTTCATGCATAAAAATTAACTAAAAATTGTAAATAAAATATAATGATCATGAGGCAAAAGAATGACGAGAGAGGGGTGGGAAGAATAGGAACAAGCCTTGGGGAAAAGAGAAGCCAACAAATGACTATGAAAACTTGTAAAAAAACAATGTAATTGTTGTGGCGCATGATATTTTAATGACAATAAAACACAGCTTTCATTTCTCCAACCCAGAGATTCTTAACCTTGGTACCACTGACATTTTGGTTTGGATAATTCTTTGCCACAGGAGGCTACTGTTAATGTTGTCTCACCCCCATCCCCCTCCACTGTAATGCCCCCTAAAAAACATCCTGAGACATTTTTTCTCATCTAGGCAAAAAGCCAAACCCTGTTGAGAAGTAGGGCTCTAGTGTTTTGATTATACCTCCTGCACCAAACTATCCTAGTGTTTCTAAAATCACCTGAAGGGCTGGAAGTTTAAAACTCCATTTAAAAGCAACATCGATTCAACTGAGTTTTCCAGCTACTGAAGAAATAAGGCATTTACTGTGTTTTGTGTATCTATAATGTTAGAACTTATATAAAGTAACATCTTTAAAAAATTTGAAATACCAAATAAGTCAAATAAGTATTGCTTTCAACTATTATTTTCTTAAGCACTTACTATATAGTCAACCATCCAAGCAGCCAGAGGTAGTGAAATATATTCATTTTACATTAGTATAGTAGTTAATATCAGGTATCTCCATTTGACATAATTTATTTATTTTTTGTAAAGAATAATTAGGCAAGTGCTTAATCCATACCATTTTGTTAAGCACCTGATTTATATGCATTATCTCATAGGAAGTAGAGATGTCACTATAATAACATTAATGTAAATATCCATTAATTTATAAAATTCATAATTGTCAAAGTCTGGTTTCAAACAATCTTTCCAGTATATTTGGAAAGAATTTAAGCACTACAAAATGTAGTACTTGGAATGGGAGTACACTAAGCAATATACAAGTTATGAGAAGAAACTGCATCAGCTCCACTAGGGCAGTAGTAAAGGGTAAGTTACTCCAGTGGTTAGATTCTTAAATTAGTCTTAAATATCTAATTTATATCAATGCAGTTTAGAAAATGAGTATATTACACAGTTGAGAAACACAAACATAAACAAGGAAAAGAAGAAAGGTCTTATTTAATAAGCAGTAGAAAATGCAAATGTATACTTATACAAAATAAACGCTGGACTTTCTTAACTATTACACTGTAAAAAGGAGCTTCCTATTCTTTAATAACAATTTCACGGCAATACACCAGGTCCACCAGTTGGAAGTGGTTCCCAGCACATCTTTCACACCAAAAAAGCCCCTGCACTTATCTGCGGTCACTGCCAATCCTCCCAAGCCTTACTGCCCGGCAACCACCAAACTACCTCTATGGATCTGCCTATTGTGGACACTCCGATAAGAAAATAAACAACAAATATGAGACTCAATTCTTTCAGTTAACATAATGCTTTCAAGGTTCATTTATGTTACAGCACATAACAGCACTTCAGTCTTTTTTGTGGCTAAATAATCCCTTTCTTTTTGTATCAACTAAGCAAAGCATTTCAAGTAGTACGTTTACGTAAGTCACCTGAAACATTTTCAGCCATTCCTGGAGGCCTGTAGGTGGCTGCACAGATGTAATCCGGCGTCGTTGCTGCCCTTGGCCATTGGCTGCTCTCAGGTCCCCAAAAGTTGTTGGTGTTGCTGAACATGGTACAAGCCCAGTGGTACTACCAAAACAAAAAGCAAGAGCAGAAGCAAAGGTAGATATTAAGAATAATGAACTCTGACTGAATAAGAGGATGAGGATGATGACCTAGCATATTTTAAACACGAATCCACTTATTCCTTTAATTGCTTATTCCCAGAGAGGAAGGGCGCACAAAACCTTCTTTGCTATTCTTAGAGTAAGTTTCCTCCCTCCTACATAACACCTGTTATCATCTCAGCAGTGCTAAGTGCAACCAAATGACAGAATCTCTATGGCAAAACTGCAAGTCACTGACACACAAATAATATTAAAGTAATTCCTTAGGGCTGGGGTGGAACACTATGGTAAACCATGGGTCACCATGCCCAAGGCAACAGATACAATCCCTATTAGAAAAATAAAATGTTTCCTTAGAACACACTGGCCTCACTTCTATGGTCTTCTGTGACATAATTAAATAAAGCTTTAAATTTTCTTTATGAAAAGGGCTGTGACAGTCTTAAAAGCTCAGATCTAAAAATAGTATATTAAAATGTTCTGGATATTACTAGTCACTAATGCTTTAAATTTACCTTACAAAAAAATTTTTATACCTATTGCTCTCTAATATTTTATTATTATTTAAAAATCTCAGTCGAGTATACGACAGGATCAGCCTTGACTAAAAGTGTAAGTTATTCAAAATAGATCAAGGACTTATAGGCAAAATTAAAATGAGATAATGTAAACATTCACTTGATTAGAAATGTAGTTATTCAAAAGAGGTACCATGAATGTAAGTCAAAATTAAATGAGATTATCTAAATAGTTTTATCCAATAATTTAAACTTCGAGAAAATTAAAAATTAAACAAATCTGAGCTTAAAATTTTGTAGCCAGGAAAATGAAAGACTCTATGATCTAGTTCTAAAACTAAAATTCCTCAAAACGACCTTTGGGAACAACACAGTTTTAACTGTTATAAATGCATTAAAATTTACTTTCTAATTTCTATATCCAATTAAATTATTTAAACAATGTAAATACTGGCCATCTTTAAAGACACAACAAAAAAGATGCAGTTAATATCACATATGTAAAATAACCTTCAATTCATTGATTCATGATAACTGGCTTAAAGTCCAAGAACACAAACAATAATATCATGCTCTGATAAAGGTACTAATGAAGCAACCCCTTCACATTTTTCTATTCAGCATGTCTCAATTTTAGTTTAAAAATGTAACTCAATCATTATATGATATAGAAAAATCTTCGTATCTATTCCATTCCAATCTAACATTTTTAATTATTGATAATTGCTAACCTTCAACAATTAAATTTATCCTTTTTCTTTCAAATTCAAAGGTAAGTTCAATTCTCTCTTGTAACAGGATGTGTGCTTATAACTTAAAATTTTTTAGGGAAAAATATAAAATCAGTTTCATCCTGTAAGATGTCAAACTCAAAAAAAATCACAAAAATATTAAACATATACATTAGTAACTGACAAAACCTCCAAAAAGACATGGAAATAAATATGCCATTGCTCTAATTTTGCTTTAGTAAGATTATACAGTAATAGGCAATTGTTTTTTCAATAAAAAAGTGACCAACTAACAGTAAATTTTACTAAAATATATTCTGTAATAAAAATTCAACAGTTTTATAAGCTGCCTTAAAAACAACTGAACAACTTAATAACTGTCTTGGTATTAGCCATATTAACAGAAGACCAAAATATATGTTTTGACTGAAATTTGTACATTTTAAAAATAGCATTAACAGTTAACATTGAACTCTGCTTTCTCATCCAAGAAAGCTTTATCAGAGCTGGAAGGAAAAGGCAACAGGGAGTGAATGGGTTTACTAGCTCTCTATTCCCACACCCTCTGGTGGAAGTGCCAACACACAGTAAAACTGTCAAGGAAGACAGGAAGAAGGGGACAGTTGACATGAGAACTATTACACAGAAAAGCAGTTCCTGACTAACTGAAAGATAGCTTTATTTTTCTCTTCTGTATCAGCTCTTCAGTTTCTTGCATATAAAATTATCTAATTATTATGATTTCCAAATTCTATAAAAGAGCATTTGAAAGAAATATTATCCACAGTGGAATGAAATACAATGAATTGTTTCTCTTTTTAAAAAGAGATGAATCAGTAACAATGTTCAATTTCGAGAAGCCTAACGTCTGAGAAATGTTAATCTCCATCTTATAGAATAAAGTAACTCTAAATCAAAATACTTTGAGAAAAAAAACTGTCATAAACATAAAATTCCTTAAGGTTTCTACTGCTAACTTTCAATTTGTTGTCTGAGGTGTCAACTATACAAAAAACAAAAAATAAAAACAGACCAAAAAAGAGTTCTTAAGACACTTTTGTCATTTAAATTTTAAAATACAGCATTCCGAATGACGTGCAAAGCCATTTTTAATTGGTTAGGCTACAGATACTCTGCCCAAATTACCTAATTAGTGTGAGAGTGGGAAAAGTTTCATACTGATGCAAAATCCAAAAATGATGGACTGAAGCAGGAAACAAGCCTACAATTGTATGGAGTTGTTATGGAAACTATTCTATGGGTGTAGAAATGTATTTGTTAAAAGCATAAGATCTGGAAAGCCGATAAAAGGGAATTTCTAACACATTAATTTCATGAAATAAGATTGAGTTAGTAGTTGTGAGGTTTATTTCATTGATAATCAATTTATCTTCAGTTTTGCATATAATATCCACCCTACTAGAGCTGTTGCTATAGTAACAAGACATATTTGCTCATATTTTATCGTTTATGGAATTCCTTAAAACTCATGATTTTAAATTTTGTTCACAACAGAACTTCTGCTTGTGTCTTCAACATATTACTACAAAATACAAACTATAGTGCTAGTCCTTCTTCCTATTTAAAGTGATGTATTTTCCAATTTTCAGTAATCTCGAAATACGGTGAACAGTCAACTGCACTGGTAATTATTCTATGAAATCAAACTGAAAGCAACGTTGCTTCCAGAATCATCAAATCTACAAGCATGAAAACCATGAGAGAATCGCGTATGACATTTGGTATTACCTTGTATATTCTGAGACCTTGCATGGTTTCTTTCCCAAAGAAAAGGAGCGGACCTCAGAACCATGGTCCAACTTTCTTTTCATCTATAAGGTAAAGCAAATAAGATATGTTTAAAAGAAAATAGCTGTCCAACATTTAATCCTTGTAATATTTTTAGAAATTCTTAATTTTCATGTGCCTATGTTGGCAACTCGGTAATTGATATAGAAAAGAATTGTTTCATAGTTTCTTCTACTTATTCTACTTCATTTTACTCTTAACCAGTTGAAAAGGTAAATTTATCCTCAAAAATATCCTGTCCATAACAGGATATATACATAGTGATTGAAAAATTGATTTTAACCATATATATTCCTTGAAAGTAATATACCTTTTATGTTTTCCAGTTTAATAGCCAGCAGAAGGGAAAAAAAAATCTCATGTTAATCTATATAGAAAAGAAGCATACTTAACATGCCTTTTCACTAATCTTCAGTTTTCTTTACAAAAACATTTTAAGAAAGGTAATAAACAAAATATCAAAAATAAGAATGGAAATTAAATTCTAAATACCTATATCATTATAAAAGGGTAAAGAAAGCAATGCAAATAAAATAATCTTTAACACTGATTACAGTACAACATATAAATAATATGAAAAATACAAGTAGTAAAACAAAAGCAAACCTATTTTAAGAGAGAAATCTGGAAATGGCATAATAAAGCTGAAGGGAAAAAGTCATCAATTGCTATAGACAGAGTTCAGTTCTATTGACAGATACTCTGGATAAAATATTCTAACTTGAAACAAGAACAAAAACATATTAAGAAAATGAATTATGCCCCTTGATAAGATATATAAAATATTTACATTTGTAAGTATTTCATTATGCTATATTATACTATATATTCTGAAATGCATTTTCCAATGGTACCATCAAAACATTTATTTTTATATTTCACTATCAATTAACTGATGTAATTTTACAATATTTTAAAACTAGAAAATAAGATCTGAAATGCAACTTTTTCTATTTCAACAATACTTTTCAGATTTGCATCCACTAATTAATTATTTCACTACTGCAAGTTCGGGGGGGGGCAGTGATAGTTATTCTGATTTTTGTAGTAAGGTGAAAACTCTTATTTTACAGCAGTCTTATTTCCTACCTACTGCTTCACATGGGAACACCATAACACTATGATACAATGTAAGCACCAAAGAGAACTGAAGAGATCCTAAAAACCTTTTAGAGCAACAGTAAAGACTTGATTTTTAAAATCATGAAAGTCTTCCACTCAATACAGGATGATCTTAATTGGGGTGGAGGTAAGGGTACAACAAGTCTATCCACAATTTATACCTTAGTTCATAAAATAGCCATTGGAAAAAATACAATTGGTCTGGTTTCCTTCCTTCAGAAGTTTCTGTTCTATATTAATCATTACATTATTTTAAAGTGATCCCTCTCAAAAACCATTAATTTCTCTATATAATTTTATTAAAAACCAAACATGAAGTATTATAAAAGCTACAACATATAGCTTCATGCTTCCACGTGTATAATTTACAGGCACACACACTTGCAAATGAATTCATCATGAAAGTCAGTAGAGCTCATCTTACAATCGAGTTTTGGGATAACTTTTATAGATTATTTTCATCATTATGAGAAACTTTGATATTCATTCTAATTAAGTTGGTAATACTGGCTATCAGAACTTCCCCGGCTATCTTGGAAATGCACTGCTACAAATGCCATTTGCCACTCACCAAAAGCAAACTTTATTTCCATCTTGGAAATCCCTCAATGAATAAAAATGCCCAAAATATACATTATGAAAGACACTGAGGATTTCATTTTCTAACTGTTTTATACAATAAAGCATCTTCTGAAGTCTTTCAAATATTGTACCGTTTACTGAACATACTGACTTTAGAACCAAAAATGCACCCTGCCATTTTTTGAGGGGTACAGAAAGTAAAATAATCTCTTTAAATATAAATCCCCAAATTCTGGTGATTCTATACTTTAAGAGCCAACTCTTGAAAAAACAAAAATAAATATAAGGTACAGAAAAACTGAAGGCAAATGCTTCCCTGAAAGCCAACTAAGGATAGAGTATTTCCAGGTCAGCATTTAACGGAGCCACATTTCTAAAGTCTGAATACATTTTTTAGTTAAAAATTTTGATGAAAATACACATTTTATTTTAAATGTAAAGCTTCCCCAGCTCATGCTGCCTCTTCATTATTTGCTCACATTCATGAAATAAAACAGACCAGACCTCCAGCCACCCACCAAAATTAGAGGATACTGCAGCCATCTCTGATGATACAGATTTTCTTTCTCAGGCAGGCACACACACAATCACACAGCGCAGGAAGAAAACAGATTACTTACTTTGTAAAAAATCATTTTTAATGTGCCGTAGAAACCCATATTTTCTGTATTTTTCCCCTTCAGAGATTCTGTGCCCCCGTGTGTCCGGCTGCTTGGCAGTCTCTGACAATATAAACCTTTTTCAGGTAGGTATGTCACAGATTCTAATGTGGACATGCTCAGGCACGTCAGAAAAGGAAGATTAGGGAGCAGAACCGGCAACAAAACTCCACAGTAAAGGCAAATGCAGCTCAGTATCAAACCGCTTCTCGGGACACACATACATACATGCAGCTTCACTGAGAAGAACTCGAGGGAATAATGAGAGAGAACCGAGAAGATTATTGGAGGAGACTATGCCCTGTCAAAGCCTTGACTGAACAGATTCCTCCCTCAGCAGCAGAGGGATCAGATTACATCTTCCCTTGAACACAGAATGGTGCAGTCCAGGATTCAGCAATGCAGACTGCACATCAATTATATGGTGATCCGCTCCAGGGAAGCCGTGAGCACACGGCGCGCTGAAGAGAGGGAGACGTGGGCAGCAGAGCCCGCCCCCGCCCCACAGCTCGCTCCCCCTGCCCAACTTTCAGAGATTAGCTCTGTATTTGGAGAAACCAGCATTTCTGCAGTTTTAAATAGCAAGCAACATTTCCACAGATCAGTCCTTCCGGAAACACTCTGAAAATGAAATACATTTTCATGCAGCCCCCACCCACTTACACCCCCCCCCCTCCCGCCGCCTAAAACAGAGGTGAAACAGGCTATTTTCACTAAGTGTCTTCTTCCTGGAGCCCTGGCATGGGTGATTGGATTTCTCAAGTAGCTTGGATGGTAAAAAATGGGCAAGCCCAAAGGGAGAGATTAAATATTTTTTGGGGGAACCGACAATAAAGTAAACCAGTTTGGAGCATACAGCCTTTGCAGAAACCATGTAATATAAATTATAGTTCAAACTGTTATATCTCCTATTAAGATTCGATGAAAGTATTCCCAATGGTTTTCCAAAATATAGTTTTCAAGAAAATTACCAGAAACTGCATTAATTCTTGTTAACTTAAGAACCATGAGATTATCTTTTTTACTACCTACGTGCACAAAACGGATCTGAAAGGCTATCTTCTCTGAAGGGAACACTAGCTGTACTCACTAGTTTTACCTTTGTTATTTTAATCTTGAGTAGGGAGGAGACTGGCCTAAGTTACTTTCCCAAGGTATATTGCTTATCATTAGAAAGGCATTTTATACAACAGCAAAGGTAACAAAGTTTGCCTGAAGGCAACATTTTTCTTAGGATGAGTATTATACAAATCTAGATATTTTATCTTGCAACTGGCTATACACTAGCTTTGGAGGCAATTATAAGATTCCTTGTTCTACTAGAAAGGCCCATTATTAAAGGTCTAGTTAATTAACTCCTACCCTCCCCATTAACATTCTTCATTACAAGTAAATGGTGAAGCTATAGTTATTTAAAGTACTTAGAAAGTTTCTAAAGGGGAAAAAAAAAATACTATTTGGACTTAATACATCTTAATACTCTCCGCTATGGTGGTAAGTAGCTTTCTTTAGTAAAATGATTTCAAATACTGCATAAAGTAGTATCATACTTTAAAAATGTTTACCTTTATAATTAAAACATTAGGTCATTATAATGTCTTCTACTTTAAAATACAAATGAAAATAAGATAATGTAAGACTTTATGAAGATGTACATCCTGGATCTTCTGGAAATTATACTCTACTGTCTACTTTAAAATTCTACTAGCTCTTAAATTCCTTCCTCAGAAACAATATGTAATTTGTACTGTACTCAGCAAGAGAGCTTGCTAAGTAATCAATTAGCTCACTTCAAAGTGAAGTTCTTTTTAAATGGAAATTTCTTAGTTTCAGTGAAAAAAATGGTTAAGAACAACTTAAAACCTTTTACGAGACACTCTAGAACACTGATGGTTTAGGGGGAAAAATTTAATGATTTTTTTCTCCCTGTGTTATCTGAAGAAAACAAGTAATACAAACATCTGAAATTTCCTCTAGAATTTATCATGGCAACTAGCTTACTGTAAGACAACTGGCACACTAGTGATTTAGTAGTATATTGTCTTCAACTGAAATCATGTCCTATTTACACAGGACAGAGGAACTTTAATGAAGTTGGCATTTCTGTCTCAAAATCTACACTGTCTAAAGAAGTAGTATTTCTTGGTTTTGGAATGTTTCTATGGTTACCCTTATACTTATGGCTATAACGTTGCACAAAAACCTGTTTCCTATAAATGCTTATGTATAGGCATGTATATTCATGATTTTCCCACGTATTTCAAAAATTCTCTCTCCTGTTTATAATATTAATTGAACTATAAATAAAGAACTAGCCAAGCAAAGCTAATCAATCAAGCCTCTGATTGGATTTAAAGTAACAGTAAAAATAAAAATTACTTTCAGCAATGGGGTATCTTATCAGTAAATATTATGACCTATTATATTATTGTCATTAGAATATATAAATGAACAATGCAGAAGAAATGACTGTTATATTCTTGCTTCTGGCAGTCTTCACTAAAAATACATCTATTTAAAACATTCAGATTTTAAAAATATAAAAAGTCTTTTGTGTATCTGTATCTAAATCCCTCTCTCTTATCCCTATGGCAGACAGAAACATTTTAACCCTAGGTCAGTCTATATGTTAAGTAACTTTATTAAAAAGTAAAATATTT